CAAACTAAGCTTACTAAGCTTTTACGGGTTTGGAACGACATGGGGGGAACGACATTTGGACACCAAGTCACAGTATGAATGCCGAAGACAAACTAAGCTTTTACGGGTTTGGAACGACATGGGGGGAACGACATTTGGACACCAAGTCACACTTAAAAATGTATGAATGCCATTGCATTCAATATTTTATTTAATTGAATTATATATTTTGTTTTGTTTCATGTTTTGTTTTATTTTTTATTTTGATGTTTAATTTTTTCATGTTTTTTAATGTTTTGCTTTATATTTTGCTTTGTTTAATATTTTGCTTTATGTTTTGTTTCACATTTGTTTTTTTTTTATGTTTTGTTTTCTATTTTGTTTTGGTTCATGTTTTATGTTTTTGTTTAATGTTTTATGTTATATTTTGTATTGTTTCATGTTTTTTAAAGTTTTTTTTATATTTTGTGTTGTTTCACGTTTTGTTTTAAGGTTCTGTTTTTATCTTTTGTTTCATGTTTTATGTTTTTTAATGTTTTGCTTTATATTTTGTTTAGTTTCATGTTTTGTTTTGCTCAAAATCACTTGATTTGATATGTAGTGCAATGACATTCATTTATTAAGTGTGGCTTAAATTTGGGGCCTCTGTATTTGTGACTGGGTTAAACATACTCACATTTTCAGGTATGGTGGGGAGTCCATTAATATCAGGAGCTATGAAGTATGAATGCTGCAGAAAACAGACAAGAAAAGATTAAAGTTAAGGTCACCATTACACAAGCTTCAAGTATTTAGAATTTACAGACCCTCTAACTTACTGTCTGTTCCACAACCAATAAATAAACTGCAATCGGCCTGAACTGTGTCTGCGCTTGTTAACATCATACATACAGACAACAGATATGGTTACATGAAGTCAACAAACGCCGATCCCCTGTGGACACTACCGGAGGAGGCTCCCCGCATCGGAGAGAAAGTCTTTATTAAGGTACAAAAGCCAACTACTCTGTACTGACAGTATCAGAGGGGTCTGCCAGGCGTACGTTTGAACAGGCGAGCAAGTTTAATGTCTGGATCAAAGAGGCTCTGAAGCAAAGATCCCACGCTGCCTGCTAACTTTAGCACTTTTGTTTGCCTGTGTGGCGCGCTCCGCTCTTTCCCAAGGCTGGGTCGCGATTCGTCATGCGTAAAGAGTACCCATCTGTTGCTTAACGCATAGGTTTAACTTTTGCTGCCTTTGCGTATAATCCACAAACAAATTCAAGCGCATCTAGCATCCTCTAATACTCAAAGATGCTTTAAAATATTCATCTTGGATGCTGTTATCACATGACTCCAGCAATCGAACCAAGTGCTGTGCAATGTCTGAAACAATTTATCTGCACTCTATGTGTATGTCCAGAGTACTTTTGCTATAATCGTACAAATATAAAAAGTTTGAAGATATCAATAAAGCAGACTGACCAAGTTCTCTGCTGACATGTGTTTATTTTCCCATACTGAGCAGCTGACTGCCCTCCGTGTCGTGGGCTGCAGTTCCAGCTGGTGGTGGCCAACACTTTGCAGCCGTGTTTATAAAAATCACACATTATCAGAGTGCTTGTTATCACCGCGCTCTGCCTGCTGCTCCCTGTAGTGTGATCAGAATCCCAGACCCTGCACCCAACACCACTCCTCAACACACACACACACACACACACGCGTCGGATTTAAACATTACTGCCCACACAGTGCAGACGGAAACCTCTCCTATCACCAAGACCCTCTTCCCAAATTCCAATAGTGAACAAACATTTCATGTTGCCAATCATTTTAACTTCAGTGAAGTTAAAGCGGAACATGATGGTGATTAGTGAACCCACCACCTGCTGGGAGACAGTACAGACAATTCCAAGAAACCCCTTTGGATGACCTGATGGGCTTTTAGATTGCAAACTAAGGTCAATTTGTTGATTACTAATCCGGAGTAATAGCAAGCTTTATAACTAGTGATGTCAACTTAAAGTCAACTTTAATGTAGTGTGATAAATGTTTTTATTTCATTCCCGGCCGGAGCGATGAGACAAAAACATTAAAACCCATTATAAACGAGGCATTTGTTGCATCCAGTGGGGACATAATTACGGATTATAATGACATACACTGTCTTTTTACACGTTTCATTGCATTGCGCCGCATAAATATAAAACCATGTCTGCATTTGTGATCGGAGAAATGACAAACAACAAGAGCTACTACACTGCTCAAAACTCGCGTTTGAATCATCAGTGGCCAATTCTTTAAATATAAAAATGTACTTACAGTCTGTGAGTCAGAACAGCTCCATAAAATGCGCTGGACACATCTGAATATTTGGGTTGAACTGTTCTGGAACAGTGTTGTAAATACAACTTAACCACTGATTTCTAGTCGTGTCCTCTTTTGGAAGGCCAAACAAAGTAGTTTCGCTTTCACAACAAAACACGGCGTCACACACGGCGGCCTTGAGTGAGCGGAGGCCTGCAGGCTAGAGTGTGCGGCGGCCGGCGGCTAGAGTGAGCAGCGGCGAGTGGGCTTGCGGCAACAACAATACTACAGCGAGAATAAAAGTTACGCCTTCTTTCTTTGCGTGAACATTTGGGCGGCGCAAGGTTATTTTCGTAAACGAAAACTAAAACTATGACTAAAACGATTGATGAAAAAACAATTTCGTAAACTGAAATAAAATAAAAACGTCAAAATATTTGAACAATTTAAACGAAACGAAACTAACAACAGTTATTGAAAAACTAACTGAAATAAAATAAAATAATAATTATCAAAAAATAAATAATCGTTTTCGTAGTCATTATGTTCTCACCCCTTGGCGGAAAAATATACAAGCTGTGTGGAGGTTTAGGGAAATAGCCTACCTGTAGGCTAATGGTGCATCACGCACATGAGGTTATCTGACGGAGAGACGCAAAGCAGTTTAAAATCTGCACGGGTCCTGTTTGGTAAACGTGCACCAGCAGTACTTAACAGAACACCCGACCCATTATCTGACAGCAGCACTAATTTAATTCTGTACCAGACGAGAACCGTTTGACATAAAGACCGCGAGTCG